ATCTAGCAGCTATACTTAATAAAAAGAGCGCCACACGCGCCCCATGATGATATCATCTGGGACAGTTAAAAAAAAAATAGTATTATGGCTCTCACAAATAGCTAATCTTAAAATTATGTTACCTATAAAACTAAACCAAATTACCACTGAAACTTCTAGTATACTGAAGTATACTGAAGTATATTGAAGTATAATATAAATGATGTAATGTTTCATGTAAAAATAAAAATGTTTCATGCAAAATAAATCATACATATAATAGTAAACTTTATATTTGCATTAATGTAATACTCTCTTTACTTTATAAAAGCAATTCTTTTTATTTACTAAATGCTTAGACCTGGATCTTAAGAGGTTTTCCCTGAGATTTCTTAAATATGCACATCAATATAATTTCTCTTTAATTTTTATTAATGGATCTAAATTTGATACTAAATACTACTCAAATGAATATATTTCCTATTTCGCTGTCAGATAATGAAATCACCCAAGATAATCCTACTGTCTTGCAGTATGTTTTACCTCAGGAATATGATTATATCATTGATTCATTTAGAGTAGTTCAAGCACATAACTTCTTGGGTGCATATACAGAACCATTCGAAGCAAAGTTCCATATGAATATTTTTACTGAAGACAATGCTAAAATGTGACTTGATAAGTTCTTTAATTTATATAAGATAACCATGAGAGAAACCCAAGGACGAATTGTAAAAAGCATTCGTTGCCTTTTTTCTAAGCATTATCATAGTATTTATAGCCATGTAGTAAAATTAAAACAGGGACAAAAAAAATAATAAAGTTGATAATGAAATAAATATAAATATAGAACATAGAATAAAAGAAAAGAGTAAAGTTAGCACATGAGTATGGGATACTGACTGCCCAGCAATATTAAGTATAATAATTCAAAATAAATATGATCCTCATCCTTGTATAATTTCACTACTTTTTCATCATAATCACCCTCTGATATCGAGTCATGCCACAAGCTTCTGCCCTATATCTGATAATACAAAAGAAACATTTTTTAAATTCTTTAAAGCTGAACATAACCCTGCAAGTGCATATAATACATATCTAGAAGAAGTTCAATTAAAATATGATAATGATGAAGTAGTACTGGCTGATAGAGCAATATGTTCACACAAATATGATGTTTATAACCTTTATAAAAAATACCTTAATAAATCAGTTGGTGCACAAAATAGAAAAGAAATATTTTTGTGTTTAGCTGAGAAGGTTGAAGAGTTTAATACCAGTAATAGAGAAAATGCTTGAATGCAATCATATATTGCACCAACAGACAATAAACCTAACCAACCTTTTATATTGGTTATTGTTACTAACTTTATGAGACACTGTCATTCATTGCAACAAGCTAGTGAATTAGTATATATAGATGCTACTGCAGATCTTGATAATTTTAATACTCCCTTAACTGTTATTTCAACAAGCACACCTATTGGTGGCTTACCTCTTGCTGCAATATTAACATCAGATGAAACTGCATCTACTTTAACAAATGCCTTGGAAGCGTTAAAACATATAATGCCATCTACTGCATTTGGTGGATGTGGATCTATTACTGGACCATAAGTAATTATAACTGATGATTCTAGTTCAGAAAGGAAAGCATTATGCTGTGTTTGGGAAAAGTCAACTTTGTTGTTATGTAGTTTTCATTTTCTACAGGCAATGTGGAGATGGTTATAGGAAGAAAAGCATAATATTCATATGAGTGATTGTGTTATTTTTATTGAATATGTAAAAACAATTGTTTATGCACAGACTGAGGTTATACTTAATACAGCATATGCAGAACTTACAACAAGTCAAACATATCTTAAATATCCAAATTTTCAAAGGCATTTTAAAGTTTTGTGGGAGCATTGCAAAGAATGGGCCATTTCTTCTCGTCAACAGCTTCCTACTTGCAATAATAACACAAATAATATTGCTGAAGCTAGAATCCGAATTATAAAAGATATCATTTTTGGGCGAATACAAGCATTTAATGTGGTACAAATCTTTTACTTTATTGTAAATACAATGGAATTATATTATATTCACAAACTGCTAGCTGTAGCCCATAATAGGCAAGATAATTTTATTTTACTACATTTTCGACTTTTAGGTTGGAAAATTGGATCTATTGATGATATTAAAATTATAAATATTAATTCATTAACATTCAAGCATAAAAGTAGCAAAAATCCAGACATATGATATTTCGTAAACATGAAGCTTGAAATATGTAAATGTAATTCAACAGATGCTCCATGTAGACATCAGTCTTCAATAGTAGCTTATTATAATGTTTGTGGTTTGAATTAAATACTCACAATGACAGTAAGCAGCTGTTATCATTATGCTTATTTAGTATTAGGAAAGAAGCATCAAGAACTTGAATTCTATTCAGATCTTTATCAAGCATGGCTTGAACAAGAACAATATATTAACACTATACCTGCAACAATAACTGACAATAATACAATTAGTATAAACTATGAAACTAATTTTAATAATTCAAACCAAAAAAAAATATTTTCTGAATCTGCATCCTTAGTATCTTTGCAATTTTCAATTAATAATAATATTAGTGATAGTGAATATGATATTTAAGACAATAATGCTAGTAATAATACAAGTATCAGTGATAGTGAAGACAATAATCAAGACAATAATCAAGACGATGACCAAGAAGATAATCAAGATGAAACTAGTAATAATACAAGTAAAGACAATAATAACCTTCATCAATCTGCCATGAATGAATTTCAGTGGTTTTGCAACAATCTTAAAAGTCTTCTCAATGAAAATGACTCTACATTAGATAAAAGTATATGCAAGTTTATCAAAGTTTATAAGCAACATCGTCTCTTAAAAGATACTCACATTTGATCAGCAATATCTTCTTTTTTTCAAACATGTAACTGGAGTGCAGCCCAGGCTAATGGTAATAGTCACCAGCATGAAGGAAAAAGAATTCAAGTTCAAGTTACTGCAATTGCAAGATGCAGAAAAGGATTAAATCATGGGCTTAAAAAAGTTCAGCAAGGAAGACCAATAAAAAGTATGCATAATAATGTATGTGAAACTGATACACAAGATCTAAACCATTTTATTATGCCTTCACGAAAAAAACAAAAAAAAAAGAAAACACATGATCTTCAACAAGCTTTAAAAGAAAATCGATTGAATGGTGTATAGAAAATGAAATAAGTTATATGATTTACAATTTAATATATCTTAACATTAGTTTGCAAAGAGCTTTAATAATTATTTTAAAGATTTTACATATATATGAATTATGGTGATCACTAAATTATATTGTAATTAATTTTAGTTTTATGCAACTAAGAAACGCTTAAGAAAATAATATAAAAAACAAGATGCTAAAAATTTATATAAGTAAACTTCGTCTTTGCTAAGCTATATTTTAAAAATAACGATTTATTAAAGTTCAATATAAAAGTGGGTTTGTATATAAAAAGTACATAGCGATGGCTCTTATTTTTTAATGAAGATAAAGAATAATGAACCTAGATTTTAACCCTCTTTTAGAAAAGTTACAAGAACGAGATAGAGTCATAGGATTATCTTGTCATACGTACAGACATATTTTTTTAATTGTATGTTACACAACTATAAATTCATATGCATTATGTTTATTGAATATTACCTAATGATCATCACATGACCACCAACTGAGCACAGATTATAATTTTGCTAAAAATCTTGCAAAACTTTGTAAAAGAAAAAGGAACCTATTACTGAAGCAAACCAAGCTAAAACTAATTACTCTAAAAAGACCACAACAATAAGATGTTATATTTAAATTAAAGGAAATCCTGTTGTTGTTATCCTTGATTTAGAAGCAGCTATAAGCATTATTATAGTCAAGCTCATGAGAAAATTAGGACTCCAAATCCAGAAACCTTCTAAAACTATTGTGATTTCTGCCAATAGAAATTATACCAAAGCCTTAGAAATTATCTCTAATATAAAAATTACTATCCAAGATATTATTATTTTCATTAACCTTCAAGTAATTGAATCTATGGATGAAACTCTTCTCTTAGAAACAGATTGGTTCAACAAGTCAAGAGCTAAATTAGATTTTGAAAACAATACTTTAAATATTCGATACTTAAGAAAGAAAGTTATTACCAATGCTACTTATACTACTAATTCTTACTCTATCTTAGAAGAAGTAGTTAAGGATAAAAAAAATTAATAGATCAATGAGCTAGATGAAGAAGAAGAAATAGAAACCTATCATTTAGAAGAGTGGCCTTCAATAATTGATAAAATGTATTATAATCCCTGATCAGAAATAGAAGCTATTCCTGCTTTTTTCTAACTCAACTGTTAGAAGAAAAGATCTATTCTGTTGAAAACCAAAATCTAAATATAAATCTTGAACTTATTCAAGACCAATATGCTCAATCTGAACAACTCTTAATAAAAAATATCCTAAAAGATGGACAGTCCAAAGAATTAGGACAAACCAATGCTATTTGTCATGAAATTAATACAAATAGTTACAACCCTATAAAACAAAGAGCCTATCAATACTCTTCTGATGAACAAGACTTTTTGTAAAAAGAAATTCAAGCAATGTTAGAAAAAGGAATTATTAGAAAATTCTTTAAACTTTGGTTTTTTTCTGTTATATTTGTGTCAAAGAAGAATGGATGAAAGAGACTTTGCATTAACTATAGAAAACTTAATACTATTACAGAAAAAGATGTATACCCACTACCAACCATCCAGAAAATTTTAAACTTATTCAATAGAGCCTCTTGGTTCACTAGTTTAGATTTAGCCTATAGATATTGGCAAGTTACTATGAAGAAAGAAGATAAAAGAAAAACTGTCATCATTACAAAATAGAAAACTTATAAGTTCAATGTCATGCCTTTTGGACTCACCAATGCACCTGCAACTTCCAAAGATTAATGGATAAAATACTTTGTCTTTTTATCAACAAATTTGTAGTAGTATATCTAGATGATATTACCATTTACTCCAAAACCTTTCAAGAACATTTGGACCATGTTTAACAAATTATGAATGTTCTAAAAGAAGCCAACTTAATATTAAACTTGGCAAAATGTTATTTCTTCTTAAATAACATCAAGTTTTTAGAACATATTATTGAAAAAGATGAAATTAAAACAGATAAAAGACTGGTAAACAAAATTAAAAATTTTACAGAACCTACTAATCATAGACAACTAAGAGGATTTTTAGGAATTGCCTCTTATTATCAATGATTTATAAAAGAATTCTCCAAAATTGCCAAACCTTTAAACCAGCTACTAAAGAAAGATGAACCTTATCTGTGGACAGAAAAACATCAACAAGTCTTTAATACTCTCAAAAATTACCTTATCTTAGAGGTTGAAGCATTAGTATGCAAATAAAAAGGTCAATTAAAGTCAGAATATTGTAAGGTAGAATCTGCAGTTCTATCAAAACTGAATAATAACTATAAAGAATATGTCATTGCTTATGCTAGTAGAAGTTTAAATAATGCTGAACAAAACTATTCTACTACAAACTTAGAATGGTTAGCTGTTATATAGGCTATTGAACACTTTCATCAATATTTAGAAGCTAAATATTTCTTTCTTATTACTGACCATTCTACCTTACAATAATTGAGAACTTCTAAGATTAAAGGAAGAAGAGCTAAATAGGTTATGAAACTAGAACCCTATAACTTTACTATAATTTATTATCCTGGAAGAAAGCATAACAATGCTGATGTTTTATCAAGAATGTATAAACAAGAAACAAACATGATTCTAACAGAAGATGAAGATGAATTCTCTTCTGAAACTAAAGCTCTCCAAATTGCTATACAAAGAAGATTAGCAAGAATAGAATCTTCTTTGTATTAGAACCAACAACTTGAACAATTAGCTGCTATGTTGAGACCAAACTTACCTCCTATTGCAGAACAGGATACCAAACCCTATACCAAACTTAAAGTATTCTCTAATGGTTTTAAATGTGATAATAGACCATTATTTAATTGAAGTTATATTCAATAACTCTCACAAAAATATAAAAAAAATAATGGAAAGAATAAATATCCAATTAGTTGGAAAGACCCAAATACCTGATGTTGGTATTAACATATTTATCTACACTCTTAATCTACCTGTTACCAATATGAAAGAAACAGTTCTATATAGGCATTCCTGAAAAGAACCTTCTTAATCTTATTATTAAATGCTTCTCAGAACAGATTTTAGTTTCTAGAATTGAAGATGCAGAAGTTAAAATTTTTATATAACTGCTATAAAAGATGTTAAAGAAATTTCTACAGATATACAAGCTACAATAAACCTATTCAATTATTAAGACATGATAGAAACCCTTGCACCAACCCTATCTGAATATTATACTACCTTCTTACAACTTCATCCAAATATAGAATTTAGTTAAGAAGGAATCCAATATGATAGAATGCATTGTATCTGGTTTTATATTAAAAATATTAGTACTTGTTTTGCAGAAACTTCAAATATTGCTAAATATATTTATAATATAATTATTATATTATTATTATATTATTATTATATAGCAAAAATATTATATAGTTTA